AGCTTGTTGAGTTACTCCCAATGATCGTGCCAATTCTTCTTGATTTTAACACGAGTCTTGATCAAGTAATGCCTCCAATTCTGCATCTTCGAAAACCTTCTCTTTTTCACCTTTATGCCGGTCTTCGACGTCAAAATCACCGTTCTTGAAGCGTTGAAACCACTCACAACACGTTCTTTCACTAATAGCGGCCTCACCATAAGTATTTGAGAGCATTCGATGAGCCTCAGCCGCAGATGTCTTCATATTGAAGCAGAAAATTAAAACCTCCCGCAAATGACGAGAATTTGGCTCGTAAACTGACATTTTCAATCGAGAATAACTTTATGATGCAGACACAAATCGACTAATGTTTCTATGGGGTTATGTTGACAGATGCCCAAGTTTATTGTATGACGTCTATGATCTATTTATTTCGACCACCACTTACCGCTAAAGTCATCTATAGGAAAACGGCGGAAGCAAAGTTGTACACCTAATATTTCGCGCGCTGGCGGCAAGAGGGGCTCGGAAAACGATACGGTGCCGGCAAGGCATGCCTCACTCTCGTATTTCTAGCAATTAACGCGTTATTCATCGAATTCCGCAATCATGTCTTACAACACGACGTCCTAAATCGTTTAAGAAACTTTGACTTCCTCTTCACGAAGACGTGCGCGCAGGAAATTTTTATCCGAAAAGATCTCACGGAAAAGAACATTTTAATTTGTGTAATTGAATAGGGACCAAGCGAAAATTTGGTTACACAAAATGATATATCTTTATTACTCCGACCGGAAACATTCGTCTGAATGAAAAATTCAGCTGCATCAAAAATCGATTGAGAACAAATCGACTGCTTCCTACAGGAATTTCTCTATTCCTACATGGATATTATAGTTCTTATTGACGAATAAACCTACCCAAAGTTATACTCTAATTTTTTTTCATTAAAAAAAATTTTTTTTTTTCAAATTTTTACATGTGTTTTGTTTAAACATTTTATTATTTATACAAATAATTTTACGCATTTAACTTCATGTTCATAATCAGCAAACCAAAAACGCCTATATCTTGTATTCAATTTTATTTCTTATGCATTTTTGTTGCACTTATTAATGATAGAATTGAGAACATTAAAAAGCTATAAACGTGAAATTCAAAGTGCGTCAAAATGAAAAAATATGACCTAAATATTTTTTGTACTTCTACATTTGTGTTAAATTAGAAAGAAATCGGAGTGTACCTTCGATATAGGTATACTCCGATTTCTTTCTAATTTAACACAAATTTGTAAGTTGTGAGAAAAAATATCTAAACAATAAAGAAATATTTATTCTTTATGGATACTAATAACATATTACATATTTACTTATAATAATGTACAAATTTTTTACAGAAAAAAAAAAACATTTTATATCCGTTGGTATATTTATTTAATTTTCAAATAAAAACTATTTTAAATATAAAAATATCTTATTTAGTATATATATTTTTTCTTAATAAAATTTGTTAGTAAATAGATTATTAGTAAATAACATGTAAGTAAATACATTATTAGTAAATAACATGTTAATGTTATTTATATAACATTTATATAAATATTTTTAATACTCTTTGTGTATTTTTGAACATTCAATTATACACACCGACGGATTAAGATTTGATTAAGTGTGTCATCACTACCTATCTCGATCAAATATCTGTTATTTTGTGTACACTTTTTCTCTCAGTGCGCAATCGAATTTCTCATCTGATCCCAATTCTTCCTAAGCAACGGGAAATTCAGTTACACCGGCGTAGTTGCTTTTCTCGTGTAATTACGTCGCGAGGAGTCACACATCGATCGCGGCGTCAGCGTGTTGGCGAGGCGTCGAGTTAACTGAAGTCGCGCACGGAGAATCCCGAGAAGAGATACAAACGCGATACGAGCCTTCGGAATGACTTCTTCCCAAGAGGAGCGGTTTATTAAAAAATGTATAAGCAGCTTGTATAAAACGTATTTCTGCGCCGAGATCGACCTCGTTTGTATAGCTTCTCTTTTCCTCTCTTTTCCTTTTTTCTTCCGCCGATATTATCGCGCGCGCGCGCACACACACGTAATAATCCCGATACAGTTAGACAAAATGGCTGGAAAGTACGGGCTATTGCGCGGCGGGATTTAAAGGCCGGCTTTCCCCGTGGCTGGCTTCTCGTGGGCCGTCGCGCGTTTCGATTTAATATACGCTCGATGCGCGCGCCATTATTTCGACGATTTAACCGTACGGTCGGTCGGTCGGTCGGTCGGTTGGTCGCTCGGTCGTCCTACGCGCGTTTTCCCAACCGACGGGATTAGCCTGTGCGCACCGTGCGCGAAAGGGTCGACGAACCCGATGGAAGTAAAAGTTTCGTACCTCTCCGATCTCCACTCTACATTTGTGAATTAATTATTCTCGCGTTACGCGATACACCGCCGCCGCCGCAACCGAACACCCAACACTTCCCCCTGGCTAGCGTTTCTCCCTCCGTGCTGAACAATCTCGTGAAAAAATCAAAATTTCATTCGTCCTTATCGTCCGGCCGATTTAGCCCTTGTAAGCGTTCGTCACGAAACAGCCGTCGCTTAAAGTAGAAAAAAAATATCACGACTGCGCGAAGCGATGTGACGCAAAAAAATTAATATCTCGGCGAAGCATTATGTTGTGCGATAATTGCGGGTTTTTCAGGCATTGTGAAACGATTGCATTTTTATGTCGTTATAATTCTGCGAAGTGCATCATGAATAAAATGGCGCCTGCATTATTTCGTAAAATTATAACAGCTTAAAAGTAGTCGTTTCATTTTTATCTGAAGAATTCGAAATTATTATACAATTTGATATTAATCTTTTTTTAAAAGAACTGCGTGTATATGTGTGTGAAAATAGCCAGCACAAACGTACTCTGCACGGAGAAAATATTGTGGTAAAAATTACGTTAAAGTTATGTTTCTTTTTACGTTTCCCTTAATGTTACGATGTTTTCGAAAAGCTGAGCAGTATCGACATTGTGCTATAAATTATTACAGAAATGACAAATTTCTGGTATACATTGAAAAATCTATCTATCTGTCTATCTATTGATCTATCTGGTATACAATAAAAAAAGAACATTCAAGCAATTCAGTATAAAAAGTCAAGAGAAGTCAAATGTACAATATTTTTAATCAAATATATAATAATTCTAACTCTGTATAAGATTATGTATCCAAGATTACAAAAATTTTGTTGCAACTTTTGCTACAATATCTCCTCCGCTTAGATATATGTGCTCCATATAAAAGAAAAAAGAAACAACGCGACATTTGAGACTGCACCGCTGCAACTATGTTACTGCAATCGCTGCAATTATGTAAAACTCTCCATAATATTTGAGACTCATGTATAATGAAGACTCACCAGATTATAGACTACGTCGCTTTCTCGCGACTTTCTCTATTTTCGGCCGATCGCTTAATACCCGGTCAGAGCTCGTAAATCTTTCCTTGTCACTGAAGGAGATTGACTATCGTCGAGGGCAGTTTCGTTTTCCGCAAGCTAAAGTAAACGAACTCGAAGTAGAAATCAAGAATAGCACACTAGCCTCAAAGAACACTAATAAAACGTGTAAATTTTAGTTGCAACTAGAACAATACAGGCGCACGCGCTATTTAGCTAATAAAAAACAATAAAAAATAAAAATAAAATAAATTTAAAATATACTTATAATTAATAATTATATTAATATTTATATATTCTTCTTAATACTCTCTCATTCTCATTCATTCTTCTCTCTTATTCTTCCAGATTCTCTCTCCCTCATTCTCATACTGTTTTAGTTACAATACTTTAATTTTCTACTATCTTTCCTCATTCTCTCTCATTCTTTCTCATTCACTTGCATATTTTCTCATTTTTTCTTATTTAAAAAAAAATAGAAAAAAAATAGAAAAAATAGAATCTTTCATTTTATTTTATTTTATTGTGTGTATAGTGCAGATTTCACCGGATTTTCGCGCGAAACGCGTTTCATGATACGACTATCATAAACACACGGTGATCCTTCAGAAAATTCAGGTCGTAAGGGGCTAAAATTTCGACCCGGGGAAAATTTCGATTCATGGTCATTAAGAGACGCTGGAAGAACATTAATTATTAGCCAAAATAAGTTCCCGTTGATTGTCCGTCGCACACCATCTCATTCATTTCGCGAGCTCGGAAACAAGCCGCGAGAATTCTCGGCGCGCTTCCGCATCGCCGTAAGCCTATTTCCCAACGACGACGACGTCGTGACGAGACCTCTAAAGCCTCCGCCTCCGCCTTCTTAACGCGATTTTTATTCCGCCGGATCCTCGGCTCGTTCATATCGCGCACCACGAAGATACGACGTGCATGCGAATAGAGCCAACGCGCTCCGTGCACGCCTCTCTCGCCGCGGCGTATCATTCCCCCGATATTGTACGGAGCTAAAATAACCGGTCTGTCCTTCTGCGGCTCTGAAATAGACGGATAAACGAAGACTATAAGCGGAGAAGAACCTCCCGAGCCGCGCGTATTTGCGTGCCGAGGTGCTTCGCACTTCGAAACTATGTCATTTCGCGACCAACGCTCGGGAATATATTCGCGTATTAAATAACGCCGAGAGAGAATAATATATCAGTATGTGACGCAGCACTTGCCATGGCAATCGCGGGCGAGGTCACGTAGGTCTCTCCAAAGATCTAATTACTTTGAAAGAGTACAGCGAATTTCTGCGCGGAGAAAAAGAACCGGTCGAATTAACATGATAATGACACAACCAAGCTAGTTGAAGGAAACCGAATTTCCGGGGCTTGTGGACCAGATATTCGCCCCTTAAAAAGCAGAAATTCTGTCTCCTCCCACTACACTTAACTCCTGCTGATTGTCTATCGGGCGCTACCTCACACGGAAAAAAAGATTTGGCTGAATTAACCAAATATCTGGTCGAACGATCCAGAAATTCCGATTGAAGTAACCCGAATTTTGTCGAAGTTAACAAGATTTTTGGTAGACTAACCGAACATGTCTGGTTATTAATAAATCCTGTTAACTTAAACAGAATTCGAGTTATTTCAGTCGGAATTTTTGGATCGTTCATATTCGACCAGATATTTGGTTAATTCAATCAAATCTTTTTTTTCCGTGCACTAATCGCGTTTAGTTGTGTTATTGTTATGTTAATTTTGATTAAAGAAAACAGAACTTCTGCTTGTTGTAAACAAAATCCAGTTCTTAAGAGGATGCTGTGTGCTTAAGTCGATGACGAACAATGTCAATAACGATCATCATTAACACAATCAATCTATTCTTTTCGTACTTCTTGTACATACAGCTGTATAAAAGTATAAGTAGTATAGTATAAGAGTGCAGCTGTATAAGTTCTAGAACTTACGTAAATGTGTGTTACTTTGTTTTAGCATATTCAGCGGAAAACCTAATAGACATTTTTCTGTAAACTTTTCGGATATTTTTGAGAATTCAGATACAAAAAGATGTAGCAATGTTTTTTAAAAATTTTCTATTTGAAGCATTCACATTTTCGATATATATAAGCTGCGGAAGTTTTGGAACAGCCAAATATTACGTTGACAGCGCTTGAGATTTTACATTAAAAATTTTTTTCTCGTTTTCATCACATATTGAGCAATGCTCCTATTTTTGCACGTGTTTCCATTGCATAAAAGCACTTGTAATTCTGTAACCAATACGACGTAAACTTTGCAGAGAAATGTCAGTATTCTATCGGCAAAGTTTTCAGCATCCCCTTAAGAACCTGACATTCTGCCAAAACTTACTCAGATGTCTCATTGTCGCGTTAATTTCACCAATGTTTTTCTCCGCGCGGATCTCCTGATACTGTGAATTCTATATCGCGATACGTCGCTCAGTAAATAGAGGACGCTTCGTCCTCAATCGCTCGTGCAATCGAAAAAAGTGTCCTCGATACCTTCGTGACACTTCGACGAAGGGCAACTTCAATTGCTGACCAAGAACCAATTATCGTGAAGAAGAGCGAAATCAGCCTCGAATTGACCGGGGAATCTGTTGCTCCGTGCAATCGCGATGACAGATCGTGTAGTCCGATATATGACGCTTGTCCTTCTACCTGCGCGGCGTAGAACGATGTTGGCACATTGATCGTACTAGTTGCAGAAAAACTGGGACAAAAAAAAAATAATTAACATCACTGAAATTATTTATAACGCCAATTATATTTTCTTGCTACTCCACACGGAAAAAAAGCTTTGGTTGAATTAATCAAATATCTGGTCGAATATGAACGATGCAGAAATTCCGATTGAAATAACCCGAATTCTGTTTAAGTTAACAAGATTTTCGGTTGACTTAAACAGAATTCGGGTTATTTCAATCGGAATTTCTGCATCGTTCATATTCGACCAGATATTTGGTTAATTCAACCAAACCTTTTTTTCCGTGCAGCAAAGAAGTAACAGTAGCAATATGCATCCAAGTTACTACTATCACTGATATCACTTTATTTATAAGGCCAAGTAATCTCATTTTAAGATTTGCATGTAGAAAAATAAAGATATTCTCCAAGCAAGAATATTCTTCTTTTCTAATAGTCTTTTCGCATACACTGTTAAATATTGGAGGGTCAAATTTAAACCAATTTCTTGAGTTAAATAATATTTAGTTATTTTTAACTATCATGTGTGTCAACATTTACTATTTTAACACAAAACATGTGTTTAAAAAAACAACCACATCTAATCAATCCGTTTAAAACAATATTAAGTCATTTTTTACTAAAACAAAGGTTACATTAACGTGCACATAATAAAAAATAAACTAAATTTTAGTACAATAGTAGTACTATTATTTAGTAAATAAACTAAATTTAATACATTTCTTAAGTTAAATTATTTAACTCCATTACATTAGTTAAATTAACGACATATTTAGTAGGAGCAGTGGCGACTTATAGGAATGGTTAAAAGTAACTCAAATTGAGTATAATTTGACACTACGGATTTAACAGTGTAGTCGATTCCTTGATTTAGCTCGAGATTTGATGCCGCGCCCTTTATGGATTTCTTTTCGACGTTTCACGTGAACATACCAGTTTAGCTCTTCAGGAGACTTGTTCATTAGAGGAGCGACCTGAGACTTCACCAACCGATTTGTACTGTTACCTTTGTGTAACTATGTTAGCAGGAAATAGTCGTGTCCTATTTAAGCGACGAATGCTCAAATCTACACGTGCGCGCGCGCGCGTGTGTGTGTGTATGTGTGAGAGGGAACGTGAGATTTAGATTCTCCCATCTAAAAAATGAGAGGGAATTACGACAGTGGACGCCTCCCTCGCGTCTTCCCCGCTCTCATTTACGATTTCTGTCTAGTAACGACGAGCGTTCTATTATAGGGACGTAACGGCGACCTTGTACGTTAACTCGCGCGTCGCACATGCGACACGGCCTCACGTGCGAGCGATTTTTCCGCCTGAACGAGGCTGAATGTGAGAAGAGGCATTTTCGATTTTAAACACGCATCGATCGTGAGATGCGTGTCCTTGCCCTTTCGTAGTCGCACGGACTCGGCGAGGCGTTTAAGGTCGTCGGGATGAATCCCGCCCGTAGGAGACCTTACGCTGTTCGAGCGCGCTTTGTGTGACGCGGGTGGGGTGGGGGGAGGGGGGAAGGATGGGAGCGACAAAGAATGAGAGAGAAGCCTTGTTAGTGCGTAGGATTATGTAACTTTCTATATGCGCTCATTAAACGGGATCAGCTGTAGACACAAGAGTGCGTGGTGTGCGTGCGTGTGGGTGCGCGAGGCAAATAAAGAGCCATAAATGCGGAAAATCCAGCCGACATTGACGCCTCCACTAAGAAAAGGTGTTCGTTATTTCTAACTGCTCAGATAAACTTCCAGGTCGCAAGACAGTTCAGAAGAGAAACTTGACTATTTTTCAATTACGTTTGTGAGACAAATATACTGAATCGGCCATTAAAGGAGGATGTCGGAGAACCGCGATTTTTTGCTCACGAGTGGAACCTAAAATTCGGATTCAGATTTTCATTTTACATTTTACATATTGTTTCGAGCAAATTTGGATAATATTTTTCGCATTTCTATTTCGTTATTCTGTGTGATAGATATGAGTGTTATATTCATCACTCATGAGGAACCCATCTTTACAAATCGACAGCAGAGCTGCTGTCAAACTTGCGCCTGCTTATTTGGGTGTAGACAACCCACGATAAAAGCTCGACAATGTTTCCAATTATACATATATTTATGAAGCAAATATACTGTACTGAATTAGTCATAAAATTTATATCATACAACAATGTAGATTTTTGTTATATTAATGTCGCAAAGAGGGTTTACTCGAAGTTGCACACAGATTTTCATATTACACATTTTACGTGACATATTTTCAGCGAATTCTAATAATTTTCTCGCATATCTTTCGCATTTATATTTCGTCATTCTTTGTAATAAATATGAATATGCCATGTGTATCACTCAAGAGATGCGCCTTGACAAGTCGACTGCTGCCAAATTTACGCACACCTGCCTATCTGGGGATAGAGTCATTCGCGGCATCCAATGCGATCCAACGTAATGCCGTGTTTCCTCCTTCTTGCCCTTGTTATACGGGGAACCGTATCTGAAGAAGGAACGTTATTGTCACCGATGAAAGTGGTCGTTAATGTTCGCTTACGAGGTGCGTCCGCACTGATTATTATCGGTGTGTTATAAGGCGATTACGGTCGGTTGATGACGGTGAACGTACCGTACTCAAGACGAATTCGTCGCGGTCTGTTTAGCTGATTATACCGTGAATAGGAACACCTCCTACGCTACGTGCTGTTTCCCCTTATCTTGTCGGATATATGCATCAAAGTTATTGTTATAATATGCACGCGTAAAATGCATCAAGCCAGCTTTCGCCGTTATAATCGGCATCTTGTGTTGCGCTCCACATACATATCGCATAATGAATTTAATGATAATAAAAAGTGGACAGACTTATCCGTAACAATGTGGAGTATTGAGAGCACGGGACGCATCTGCATTCCTTTTATAACTGTTGAAATGTCACGTTTGCATTCTTCAACCCTTTAGCTACTGTTGAGTTTTGTGGACGCGGAAGTCTACTGTATAAGCACAGTATTTTTTAATAGTATTAGTTTCAATTCTTAATAAACTTTATTAATCGATTAGCTCTATTGAGGTAAATGTACCAATGCCTGGACACGTACCTAATGTTGATCATTCTTATTGTTTTTGTATTTAAATACGAATATTTAAACTTTTAAAATAGAAAATATGTGGAGATATATTGAATAGATTGGTGAGACAACCTGTATATTCTATGCTGCAAGTTGAGATATTCGTATTTAAGGGCCAAGACAATAAGAATATTCAGGATTAGATATGTGTGTGCGCGGTTATTGATATTTTTTACCTCTGCTGATAAGGATACAACAAATTACATAGGATAGATTTTTATAATGGCGCGTATTAGCAAAAGGGTTATCGAATTTCTCGGGTTGAAATAAATAAATTTTACTACGCGTTACGTTCGAAAGCACACACTTCATCTGATCTTCTTTTTCTTACAGTGGCGAAAAAGATGCCGGCGATAAGAAGGAGAAGGACAAGAAGAAAGGTGAGTAGTATAGCCCGCCAGTTTTAAAGCTTTCGAGAGACTTGCAGATCGGAGTTGCTCGTTAATATTGATTGTAAATTCAAATTGATCGCGTACTTTCTTCTTTTTCTCTTCGTGACTCTTCGCTTCGACACTGATGACTCGAGTCGCCTGTCCATATTGAGAGTTTCGAGTCGAGTGATTTTTCGAAAGGCTTTTCACGACATCGAGCAATGCTAACAACATAAAATTACGTCTGTGTAAGCCCTTGGACTTGACGACTGCCTTTATCCGATTTCAGAAAATGCCGTCCAGCCACATTGTCACATCACACTGAAATGCACACGCGAGGTGAGTGACTCCTTCCGGCCTGCGTCTTAATTTAGACGCAACCTTGTGCAAGAGGAAAGACGCCGGATTTACCCGATAAAGAGATTGAAAGAGAGAGAGAGAAAGAGAGAAGAAAAAGAGGATTAAATGGGCGAGAGAAAGGGGGAAAGAGAGAGAAAGAAAGAGAGTGACAAACTGTCGACAGCTTTTGCATTTCCTATGTTCTATACTTAGAAATCGTAGAGTGGTGACGCGAGGCAACGGGATCATTATCCGTTCCTAAATTTACAGATCGCCGGCTTCAATGGTCTGAGCGACGCCCTGAAGAGGCTGGATTTCCTATCCGCAGTGCACGACTGCCGTCGATTCAACTACATCGTCCGTCTGCTGGATCTTCTGGTCAGTCACAGAATGGGCGGTCTCAGCGGTTGCGCACAGAGAGTGCTCTTCAACATGCTCGAAGAAGTTGCTCTGGAAGGTAAAGCAGCTCCTCGAGTACATCCCTCGCGAGACGCATCCGTCCCGAGGCGATCCCGCGATAAAATGCTCCGCGGAGTACGTTTTTGTCTCGAAAGAGAAGAATCAAGATCGATCTCCTGATTGTTGACCGTTTGTTTCCAGTCTCGCTGTCGCAACAGCAGACCGGCAGACTGCGACGACTGATAGAGAGAGTTCGGGCCTTCAGCGCCGGCTGCTGCTGGGGCGGCAGACCTCTAGGCTCCGTTATCCTTTGGGAAAAGCACAAAGCGGCTCTGGAGAGGATCCTGCAGATCGCCTCGTCTATCACCATCACTCAGGTAACAACAACAAAGGCTCGCATCAGTGAGCTCGTATGAAGCCATTAGGGAATATACGACACGTACTTTATGAGAAAATATTTGGAATCAGAGAAAAAGGGATCTACACTCAGACCCAGACGTTTAGATTGATGTGTGTGCAAAGGACTTGTAATTGTTCCATTAAATTCTCGTATTAAAAGAAGAATAAGAAGTCGAAAATGTCGAAAAAAATATCTCGATGTTGTCCATTTCATTCGTAAAAATTTTTCTTTTTTTTTTTAGTTGAGACTAAACTAACTAAACTAACTTGTTACGCCTCGTTTTTGTATTATATTTAAATTAAAAATTATTAATCTTTCGAAACTGAATAATTCAGTCTTCTATTTGACAAAGACGACAAATCTTTTGCGCCAACCTAATATTTGATTACCTTTTCTCCGCGACAATATTAAAAGATATTTATTAAGTCTCATTTTTCCGCAAGTAACACCTTGTTTTGGCTTGATTTTTTATGATTCTTACTCTTAATCACTGACTTTACTTGAAAAGTTTCTGCCTTTTTCGGTAGTGAACCGGCTGCTTTGTACGATAGAGATATATGAATGCTTCTAACAGAACGTTAATGATCATAGATAATGGCGCCGAATGTTTGTCCTATGAATAATAATATTTTCCATTGAGCGCAACAAAGTAAAATTTCGTTTAATAATCGAGAAAAACTTTTTCACTCATCCAATATACAGTTGCTGATCGATAACGAACGACTATTCGGTTGCAGCCGGACGAGGAACAGCAACCACAGTGGTCGGACTTGCCCCCCGAGTGCCGTCGAGAGGTCCTGCTCCGTTTGAGCGACCCGCGCGACATCGAGGCTTCGTCCGAGGCCTGCGAGCATCTCGCTATTCTGGCGCAAGAGCAGAGAATCTGGCGCGAGCTCGCTCAATATCACTTCACGCCGCAGCAGATCGCCACTACCAGGCAAAATAATCCTGGAAAAGACTGGAAAACCATATTCACCATCGCTCGGCGGTTAGTACCGGTGGCAAGTTTCTTTCAAGCGCGATTTAAGTCCGGTACTAGTAGTATCGAGACTCTAACTACGTGAGAAGTATGCAAACAATACAAGAATAAAGAGAATAGGGATTCTTGATAGATATCTAAACGAATAACAGGTCGATATGGCTTATTTTATTCATCAAAATTATTAATCCCCCGAAATTGGGTAATTTCGTTGTGCATTTTACTTGATAAGTCTTTCATCAACTTAATATAAATTATTTTAGGTACACTAAGCACAACAACTCAAGTATCTCTTTGTACGCCTTCGAAAAGTGAGCAAACTTCTAAAGATTGTAACTAGTTAAGAAATAATGATAGAAATTGAGATAGCTTTCAACAGCTTGAAATTTTAACTTTTCATACCTGCTTTTAAATAAGAATCTTGATTACCTGTTATTGTTATAAATTTTTTTTAACCATCTCAATATTATTTTTGAACAAGTTATGCTCTTTTGAAGTTTACCTACTTTTCGAAGGCGTATGATATTTTAAAAAGATGTGCAAAAATTTTTCCGTCTTTTTCAAGATAAAAATGATTTTAATTTTGAAATTTTGAAAAAATTTTTAGAAACATTTTTAATTTAAAAAAATTAACCATTTTTACGTATGAAATCAATAATATCGACTTTAGACATCTAAAGAGGACTTTCTATTTTCCTTTTAACACCCAAGTTTCCTATGAGAAAAATGACTTAAGAGAAAAATGATAAATCTTTTGCACCAACCTAATGTTTGCATGTACATCGAGCTTCAAAACAGTTTGAGCAATTTTTTTCGATGCAGTTTGGAACATTGTCAATAGTTGTTCAACGAGAGAACTTATGGGAATTAATCAAGAACAAGTTATCTCATTGAACCATCGGCTGCGTGCGAAACTGCATCGAGAAGAGTGCTCGAACTGTTTTGAAATTTAGTATACAGTGTATTATAAATTTATGTATATCAGATACGCAATTTGTCCTTACCGTTCTTTATTCACTCACTTGAGAATTAAAAGTACGTGTTTAAATTGCATTACGTATTGTATCACGTTACTGTCTTCCTCAGGTCGTTCGGATTGCGGGAGGAGTACGCCGAGATGATTCAACTGTGCCGCAATTGCCGTTGCTTATTCTGGCGGTCGCTGGGCCACCCTTGCATCGCGGATCAAGATCCAGCGTTTCAGGAGAAGCTGGCGGATGTCGATCAAGCGTCCCTCCACGTACCGATTCCTCCGCAGACCTTCCTGAAATTCTTCTCGCTATGAAAGCTTTCGTGTATCCTGTGAGAGGCAGAGTGCATGGTGTGCGTTTTGCGTGTGTATGTGCGTGTGAGTGTAGCGTGCGTGCATGTATGTGTGTGTGAATGAAAAAAAATACGGAAGCTATGACGCAACTATGAATGTGATTATCGCTGAACGGGAGTGAATGCCCGCGCGCGTGTAGGAGATAAAAACTAGAATGACGTTTAAAAATGTTGCTCTGCACTTAGAAAGAGAGACTCTAACGTTATCTTCTGAAAAGAAAAAAAGTATATATTTAATCCGAGATATATATACAAACACACACACATATATATATATATATACTATATATTCTCAAGTGTACCGGGCGCAGCCGCGAGATGCAGAGATCGGTATGAGAAATACATTTTCGGCGGAGAGTTCGACGTCGGTTTGCCTTGACAAATATCTTCACTTGGGAGGCCTACTTACCTCATAATCGAGCTTGAGTGTTTGTGGAGTACGAGATGCCGTCGGGAACTTGTCGCTAATTGGCGAGGCGGGAAACACAGAGAGGCGCGGGTACTCGCATAAACCCTACTCGATTCACGCGGATCGATATCTCCTGAGGTTCTAACTTTAATTGCTTCATAATTAGCGACTTGCGCGAGTTTCATCAAGGTGAAATCGGCGCCGAACTCGTGTGCGCGTTAAGTTGGTACGAAAGATTTGGAAGTTTCCTTATTGGATTCTCGTAAGAAATTTGTTTGTTAAGAAGAGAATAGGAAATCCTTGTCAGAGATGCCTAAGAAATATCGAGTTGATATTTATTTTGTTCGTGAAAGGACCCCGCACAAACCTTATGGAAAATGGGTCCCGGTGGATTTGGCTGAAACTTTGGAAATTTGTAGTTTACGTGATCCTGATGAAAAGTTCTCATTGTCTCAACTTGATTCATTGAGCCGTATGAGTCCTAGGAACCGTCGAAAGTAGGAAATAAGCGACTGCCATCGCCACTGTATAGGTAACCATCTGGTAATTCCTATCCCTTCCCTACCCTCTTCCCATTTCTCTTTCTCCCTTCCCCTCTCTTTCTCCTCTCTCTTCTTCTTTAATTAGTTTCCGTTATTTTATGTTAGCTTGCTTTCATTTACATTACTTTGCGTGATTTGTCCAAATACCTTTTCTTGCGATGAAGGAGTGAGGATTTAATGTTATATCAGATCCAATTGGATCATCCGGATTACAAGAATCTGAATGTCACTTTAAAAGGTTTTACCGTCGACATTAGCGTTACCCAATGTGCACACGCACACGCACACACACACATACACTTTCACACAAACGGCCCTTTTCAGGGCCACATAATGTGCAAAATTCCGATCGCGCAACCTCCCCGTGGTGCACATTGGGTAACGCTAATGTCAACGGTAAAACTTTTTAAAGTGACATTCAGATTCTTGTAATCCGGATGATCCAATTGGATCTGATATAAATCCTCACTCCTTCATCGTAAGAAAATATATTTGGACAAATCACGCAAAGTAATGTAAATGAAAGCAAGCTAACATAAAATAACGGAAACTAATTAAAGAAGAAGAGAGAGGAGAAAGAGAGGGGAAGGGAGAAAGAGAAAT